ACACACACACACACACACACACACACACACACACACACACACACACACACACACACACACACACACACACACACACACACACACACACACACACACACACACACAAGAAAAATGTATATGGCGGGAGATAAAGAAAACTGGTGGATACTCATAAACATATTTTATTAGCATGCCTAATATGCAAATATCATGAAAATCTTCGCTGTATAGCAATTTGCAGGGTGATTGGCATTGCAACTGGATGAACGACACACAACGCCAATGCATTGAACAAATAGTATGTTGTCCAATTAATCAATTGTATTTTGGGTCTACGGAAGGAGCGGTCTACGGAGGTTGGTGGTATCTTAATTAGTACACCGCATTGATTGCTTGGTCATTGATGCACCGCTGTCTACTATGTATAATGTATGGCATATATATGTATGCTTGATGCACTACTTTACTTACCACATTGCAGGACTTCCTCCACATCTCATTCGAATCAAATTAGCACAACTCTAACGAGAACCCCCATCATGATGTCGGAAGCGGCTTCTGAAAATAAGGTAGGCCTACACGTTGACCCAAATGTACTGACATACGCATTCGCTTATTATTCCATAAACGATGTAAAAAATGTTCTAAAGACAGTTAATTATACACACGACGCTGAAGATGGCAGTTGGATTGTGGTCAGCGTTTAGAATACAGTCGTGTATATAGATAATATGACAGTATTTCGCTTTCGCTTAATTTGATGACTATACTTCATGCATTGGGTTGCCGTCTGGGAATGAATGTGATTAATGAATACCTTCCAATCTCACACTGTGCTGGTAGTGAATAAATGCGCTAATATAACATTCTGATACGACACGTGCTGCGCTATAGTAATGAATAAATGTGCGTACCCGGGATATACCTTCCGATACCACACTGCGCTGATGATGAATAAAATTCGTATAATGTATATACACCATATGATACGATACTGTGCTGGTGATGTATGAATGTTTGTACATATATCATATACCTTCTGATGTACCAGACTGTGCTGGTGATGTATGAATGTTTGTACATATATCATATACCTTCTGATGTACCAGACTGTGCTGGTGATGTATGAATGTTTGTACATATATCATATACCTTCTGATGTACAGACTGTGCTGGTGACAGGCGCTAACGGATTCGTCGGACAGCACGTGGTGAAACTGCTACAACTGAGGGCGCCATACATAGAAGAGATCAGAGTCGTAGATCTGCAGCCTTTCAGCAAGCGACTAGGTACTGTGTCAGCGGGAGAGGAAGAGAGATGGGTGAGAAAGATAGTTGGTGAGAGAGAAAGGGATAGAGAGAGCGGAGGATGTGCGGAGAACGAGAGGGAAGGTGGGGAGGGGGAAGGGGTGGGCGAGAAAGTGGGCGGAGATGAGGGAGCGTGGGCGAGAGGGGGAGAGGAAGGGAGAGAAAATACACGAAGAACGGATGAAAGTGGAATAACAG